CATATCCGGAATAGGCTGACAGAGTGGAGTGTAACCAAAGGACCAGCTCTACTCAAAGATTGGCCCAAAAGGGAAAAAGGATTAATTTCAATATGCCAATCATTTTAATTAGTTTCTCAACATTGCTTCCGTTGCGACGACATTTTGACAAATTAATTTCCGTTTTTTATGCTAATTATTTTATGATTCATTTGCTTAGAAAACAGAACACTGTTTTCGTGTTCAAGAAAATGCGACAAGAAAGTATCTTTTGGCATATAATTTAACCTTTCAGGTCACTGTGCAATGAATGGGCCTTTTGGTCTGATTTGAAGCGTGAAAAGAAGGAAACGGGAAATTGTTCGTTAAAAACATTCGATTGCACGCTGAGTTGGGTAAACGATACGGATATACGTATCAGAGATGTAACGAGTCAATATCCAAGAGGATAAGGCGGAAGTACGAGTACGTCTTGCTGACAAAAGGGCACGTAATGTGAGGCAGGAAAGCGTACATCATTTGTGAATATTCTTAACAAGTAAGACTGCAGCTTTATAGATATTCTCGGAGATAAATACGAGTTTGTTAAATTGATGAATGAAAATATGCTGTAAAACAGTAAACAACTTTTGAAAAACCTGCAACATTGATGAATGAAGAGATCCGGCTCTTCAGTCCGTTGCTCGGCATCACCATCACCATCACCATCATCGTTATCCCCACCAGTCCCATCTCGTTGCCCATCCAGCCTTAACGTTACAAGTAAATCTGTGAAATTAAAACAAAATGTCAAACAAAATGTGGCCCAGACCCACAGACAGACGGAGGCGAGGCTCGTTTTGCGTTTGTTTTGCTGTTGTGGTTGTTGTCGGTGGTTTTTCCCACTCCACATGTGGCAGGGGGCACAGGAACATCCGTCAACTTTTCATTTTTGTATTGCACACACATACGTATGCAGATAAAATATAAATACGATACATATACGGTTACTGCTGGTGGCTCTTGTCATTTTACATGTCTGAGACTTACACCCAAGCAGAGGGATGCGCCCAACTCCTCCCCATACCCATCCTGTTCGCGTATTCATATTCCACGAAGTGGAAAGAAAAGGTGTTGCAGGTGTATGTAATTGGCATTCATTGTATTGACAGCAGTAGAAGTGTGTATGTACAAATGGGTTGCATCAGTAAGATTAATATAATTTTGGCTAGTATTTTTGACTAATAAAGGCCACAAACGACACTTCCTGTTGATGGCATCATCGTAATTTTGCAATGACACCTAATCTACCTTTTTTGGGTCCTCCTCTATTTATTTGATTTTATATTCTGCCATTTTGCAGCATTTTTATAACATTTTTGCGATGGTGTGCAAGCAACGACAATTTCGAGCTCATTAAAAATTTTCAACTGAAATATTTTGCCGGAAGCGGTGTGTGTGTGTGTGTGTGTGTATGTGCACCCTCGACGAGGCACGTTCGCCACATGTGCTTGTTTGCCAGTAGCTACAGTGATCTATAAAAGTATACCACTCTTAGATTTTGAAGAGAATTATAAAAATAAAGCATTTACAAATGGAATTGCCCTCGTAGAATCTAGTTCTATGTAAACATTTCTTGCTAATCTAATGTTTTTAGTTGTTTACCATTTGTAGCCACTGTTTGCATGCAAATGTGCTTGCGTATTTGTATTTTAGTTTTCCTCACATCTACTGGAATTAAACTACAAAATTACACACGGATATATTTAATTAGATGACATACCCCTATTATGTTTTATTTAGGACTTGGTTCCGTGCCCCCCACACACATGTCACAAGCCCCACACACCGACCGCATCACAGACTGTTCAGCAGTTTTTGCAACGTGATTTGTGTTCGAGTCACATCCGTGCAGGTGAAAATTAAGCTACCACATTTAAATGTGAATGTTAAGTAATATTTGTGGCCCTGCGAGTGTGCGGCAGCCGACAGTCGGCGTGGGGTTGGGGTCAATGACTCAACCGAGATATAACCGATGCGATGCTGTTTAAAAGTTATAACACCCATACAAGTGTGAGTGTGCTCTGAGAATTCTATATTTTTTGTTGTCTCGTCTACGTCATTACCACTTTTATTGCCATACTCTGTGTCTGGATGGGTTTCCTGTATCGATGGGTCGAACGATATATCAATGACACACACAAGAACCGGATCTCCACTATTCCCTCCTCTGGTTTCCATTTCAAGACAACTGGACCGAGTTTTTTTATACGTATAGAAATATTTCTTAGAACTATTGCTTGGCCTGGGGGAGGCGGTGTACTTTTTTCTTGTGCACTTTTTTTGTGACATAAAACTCACAATCAGTCGCCATCTTAGTTGGTTGGCTTTTTGTCTGCGCTTCATTTCATTCCATTGTTAACATGATTCGATTTTTATTGCACCAGAAAAAGGATTTGCTCCATTTACCTCAAATGCTTTAGTGCTCACCCCCGCAGCACCCACCACCTCTTGCTCAACTCCTGCCGCCTGCCGCCTGCCGCCTGCCGGAATGGAATGGAATGGAAAGTGCTGTCGTCTTCATTTGGGTGGCAACTTAATTCATTTGATGCATTATTTAAATTGCAGCGCCAGCAGTGTCCTGGAAATCCGCAAAAGAGCCACAAAGCTTACGGTTCAATTCATTTGTTAGTGTGAACGTGAACCCCGGCAATCCCTAAACTGATTGGTTTCTCCTCCCATTGTCTGAAGGTTAAGCAAAGGATGTGCTAAGCCTCAGGGACTTTGCTTTGATAACAATTACTCATGAACACATCCGAGATTGAAGTGAATCGCACTCAGCCCCCGAAAGTAGTGCATTGAACTCTAGCTTTAAAGGCATTTGATCCATTCCATTCCCCATTAAGAATGCGCACAGAAGTGTTTTATGGACTATTTTAATATTTCTGTAGTTTTTTCCTGCATTTGTACTTGAAAGTCTTGAAAAATTCAAAGTGATTTTGACAACACATGACTTTTTTTGACCAAGGTACTGCGTTTGCTCCAAACCAAAACCATATAAATCTGAAAAACAACCATCAAGTTATCTATGAATGTTGTTTGTCCTTATGTCAATCCCTGGCTCTACTGTTTTCCCACATATTTTCTCATTCCCATTCGGCAGCTCTTGGAGAAAACAACTAAAGTTTTTGTCTAGTTTCAACATTTTTTGTTAAGTCTCAAATTTTTTGTTCGGTTCAAGGTAAACAAACATTTCTAAAATTCTTATAAAAAAATGTTGTAAATAATAAAAATGTTTTGGTCTAAATATTTTGTAGAACTTTAACGGCTTAAATATGTGCGGACCTTGCTGTGGACCTTGCGGACCTTGTGGCCCATGCTGTGGGCCCTGTTGCAGCCCTTGCTGCAGCCCATGCTGTGGGCCATGTTGTGGTCCTTGCTGTGGACCCTGTGGACCCTGTGGACCTTGCTGTGGTCCTTGTGGAGGTTGTGGTCCATGCTGTGGCCCCTGTGGACCCTGCTGCGGACCTTGCGGACCGTGCGGACCTTGCTGATGCCATCGAAGGATCTCCGTCCAACACCTGCCTGCACCATGAACCACGAACTTAAATTTGAGACGACAATAAACAGGGATTAAAGCTTTCAAGTTTCGAAAACCCAACAAAAAGGCAACATTGTCTCATTACGGGGTATGTGGAAAGCAGGTGGGGCACTGAGTTAAAGAACTGAATGTGCTTGATGAGTGGATGGGACTGGAGGCAGAAGACCTCATTAAAAAATCAAGCAAGCGCAGCCATGCTAATGGCAATGCGTAGACGCTGGAGTGGGGGCTTGACTTACCGATGACATGCACACAGACAACTCACAGATACACATACACTAGACCAGCACACACTTGTGTTGTTGTTTGGTAGCTGGGCTAATGGCAAATGCCAAACGAAATCGCAAAGAGAGAAGGATCCCCGAGTCCGACAATGGTTCTGCTTCAGGTTGAGTCTGGAAACTTGCAACATGCAGCGCACACACATACACACACTCAAGTACCATGGGGACAAAGGAAGCAGTTAATTTATGCCAACATGCTCAGGGTAATTGCCCCAATGCAGCTGAAGAATAAAAGTAGTCAAGGCAAGGCAAGAGAGTCAGTCGCAGTCGCAGCATTTAAATTAGCCAACTAGGGGATTTTAATTAGTGTCAAGTGCCTCAAAATAAATGGACGCCCGTCACTGCAGTGGTGCAGAGCAGTGGGCGTTGCAGGGAGCCAATCAAAGTGGATTACAAGTCAAGTCACTCATACGCCCTGTGAGCCCACTCTCCACTGCACAGTCAATTATTAATGGGAGCTCCCACCACTCGGGAGTGCAGTGTGGCAAAAGGGCTGACTGCTGACATCTCAATTCATTCTGGAAATCAGAAAAACCAGGCAAAATTGTTTATTGTATACTTGTATTAGAATGCCAGTGGTAAATGCCTGGGGAACTGATTTTCATCATTCATTTTCCGAGTCGACTTTTCCACTTTCAACGCTGAATTATGAAGGCTTCGCATCCCCATGAAGCCTGCATGTGAGTCAGTGGCCAGAACAAGCACAACTTGATGACGCAGTGCTGGGAATACGTCGAGATGGGGGAAATGTGAGAGATCGACTGAGGTGGCGGGCGACGGAGGCATGGTATCTGAGTGGCATGCAAATGGATTGCCCCATCGTGCAATTCGAGAAGCAGCAGCAGCAGCAGCAGAGCTAGCACCAGCAGGAGCCAGAAAGGGCTCCAATTTGAGCTTTACTGTGGCTGGGTGGCATCCAAGTCGAAACGCCTAATCAGGGTCATATGGATTTCCACGCGAATGAGCAAACCAGCAATCCGAGGACACCCATATGCCTCATCAATGTTAATTGGACTTGTTTTGGGAATTACATTCCCCAACCAACATAGATATCAATCTACCAATGAAATTCTTGTTCAAACATGTCAACGTTTTATTTTTCTGCCATTCCAGAGGTACGAGTATCTGGAAATTGTAGTAAATTGTCCGTTGTGGCTTATCATCACATCCAAAATTCTATCCGTTTATTTTTTGAATTCTTCTGAAAGGTACGACTGTTTTAATTCTGTAGTTACTGTGTGGTGTATCTTTTTAGACGTTGGTATTAAAATTTCAGTCTGTTGCAAAGTCCATCCCTAATGTCTCTACCGCCGGAAATACATCAAATAGACATCAACGATCGTCGCTACAGAGAACTTATCTCTCGGTATTATGGCGAAGCATTTCTCATGGCAACAGAGGCCTTAACGATTGGCGATGGCCTGCATGTGCGTGCTGGCCGAGGACCAAATTTTCCACCTGAGGAGTTCCGCATTATGCATGAGATCTTGAACTTTGATCTTGATGGGCCAAACGCACCACGCAACTTAGGCGCAGGCGATGCCCCGATCAGACAAATAAACCCCCATTCTTTATTGAACAACATCGACCACCAGCAGTCTGAGCACGATGAAGTTCAGTTGGAGGACTTCGAAGAAGACGATGGTCCACTCAACTTGGGATTGTTCTCCATGGGCCGCCATTGGGGAGAAGCACAGCCTTACTTCAGTCCCCAACAGATTGCGCCTCGACGCCAGGCCCTGGAGCTGCGATTCACTGTCACGATTGACTTGAACTGGAGCTATTATAAGCAGATCTCCAAAATATTCGCCAAGATGGGATGGTGGGCGGCCTTGCGTTTGTCCTACTCTGAGCTCTTCTTCAATTTAGAGTAGGGTTCCAGCTCTTAACTAATGCAATAAAGAAACTATCAGAGCATTATATTCGAATCGAAAGTTGCCGTCGCTCTGTAAAACCCAATCCCAAAAGACAGCTTCATGCATATGCAGCACATCAGCATACGCCACCCGGCCCACATTATCATTTGTCCCCCACTGGCTTATGCCCCAGAACTCTCGGGGTCCACTCCCGCTCTGCTGCAGGTTACTTTTGTTGTCCAGGATCTTAAGCTACGCCACGGCATTCGCCATTCGCCGTTCGCCGCTGTTGTGCATTTATGGAAATGCCCCTGTGCCTGTGTCCTCCTGTTCGTGCGGCAGTGGGTCAACTTCGTGGCCGAACTAAACAAAAACACAGGAACAAAGCTGCTATTGGAGATAGCTGACTTTTGAATACCCTCACTCATGAAATATGGTATCTGTTTAAAGCCAAATGGAATGGGGAAAACCCCCCATGATTCAGTTAGGGTATCCATTTATCGGTATCTCGCTGCCCGCGCCTCTTTCGCATGCCGCAACTTTTACACAACGCACCCGAAATAACAAGCGATGAACAGCGCGCACAACACGCATGCATGTGGATACCGCATACACACTGTGGCACACACACACGCAGCACACAGTCATACCACACACACACATACTCATATGGGAAAGACGCGCTGCGTTCATTTTGCGCCTTATCTGCGGTCGCAAGTGTTGCGCCATCGCAGCCCGAGTGCCTGAAATTATGCTAATTTTTGGGTTTTTATGCAGCCAGCGACGATGCCAACATGGGGCAGAAATCTGCATCGCATCCCCCAGCGTCGGAAGAGGCATCCGCTGCCTGCTCCACCAGCTCCAGCAGCTGCTGTTGTCGGTTGCTGCTGCTGCTGGTGCTGCTCCGGCTCCGGCTCCGGCTGTGCATTTTGTGGCGGCCATGGAGAAGAGAACGTGGAAATTTACAGTCAATGGGTGTACGAGTGGGAGTGCGAGGGAGGTTGGACAACTGATAACGCAGCATTAATAACACCCTCTTGGCCTGCTTTCTCTTTCTTGATGATTGAAAATCTTCAGTAAACAGCGCGCCCCAAAGTATGCAACATTCATTTACTTATCAGGCTCAGGGGGCACTTTCTGCTCAGCACAGGCATCGGCACAGAACAGGACAGGACAGGACAGGACTGCCGCTCTGGCTCGGTATTTGTGGTACATTTGGGAGCTAAGCAGCCACAAAAAGATGGGCAAAAAAAAGTCAAGCATCTGCTGTCCAATGGCTGGCATTGCCATTGCCACTGGTCTTGTTGCGGCCAGTGTTAACATAAAACTTGTCCAGCGATAAACTCTTGCCCGGCCTCGGACATTGTCCAGCAAACATTTGTTACCCATCCCATCCGCAGTCTCTCTTGCTGCCATTTCTACGATTGCTCCTGCTCGTTGTAGTAGTAGTGCTGTTTCTGCTTCATATTCAACGCCTTTTCCATTTCACTTTGCTCGGCCCAACATTTGAAATTTTCCAATTTCTGTTGCCAGGACTCTCCAGTGGCTACTTAGATACTCGACGAGTGGGTTGTCCTTGTTTTGTATTTGCTGCATTAATACCTTTAGAAAAGTCCGATAGTTGTTGCAACCAGCATATTAAACCTTGGTAAATCACTGGCAAAGCAGGATTTCCTCACCACACAGTACTCGATCTGAAGCCGACGGAAGGCCTACAAGTCCCTGATTTTCGAGCATGATTCAGGCTTCATTCATATTCATACATGGGCTCATCTGGCTGCTGCTGCTTCTGCTGTTTCTCTGCAACTCTTATTTTCTGTAAATCAACACAATGGCGGGTAACAAAAAGGAAACTTTTCCCCGAACTGCCAGCCTTATCACTGGATCACCACAGGGTCAAGGGTTAATGAATTCCAGCCGTAATTACTTGTTGGCCGAAAAGGGGGAGTGACTACCTCCCTCACGAGCCCTGTGTGCCGCCCCCATCTTCCGCCTGATGGTTATTACCGCCGCCGACCAAGGGATCCTTTTAATTATTGTTTATAACCGTCGGATGCAACTTTATCTTGTTTATTTTATTATATTCATTTTTGTTTTTTTGTTTTTGTGTTCGCTTGTTTTTGCTCTCGTTCTGCCATTTAAATATTCAAACTGCGGTGAAAGTTTCGATTGTGTTTGCAGTTTTTCCGCTGAATATTTATACAATTTATATTGTTCCGTTCCGGCAAATTGTACTTTTGTTTTGCATTTATTTATGGGTTCGATTTCAGTTGCATATTTAATTGAAAGATTCGCGTTTTCTCTCTTTTCGGTCTGGTCTTGTTATGCAATTAAGTCAATTGTGGGGAATGCGAAACTTCGTTCTTCGGCGGTTCTTAGGTTCTTTATGGCAGGCCAAAGCCGATAACCTTTTGGGGGGGGATATCGCCCTTCCCATTTATATCCACCCCACAGTGGCGCAACCACCTGCCCTCCCCCTTCTGCCATATTTCAATGCGTCAACGTCTGTGTCTGCTTCGCTTGTCATGCATTTTACGCATGAGAAAATATTTTCAGTTAACAAGTGCGAGGCGAGGGTTGAGAGCCAAACAGAGGAGAAAAAAAACAGAGAGGGAGAGAGATGCAAAAGCAAAATGCACAAGAAAATTCCCATAAAAATAAATCGAAATAAGGCAAAGTTGCAAAACGGTGGCGTCGACGGGTAACAAACGATGCTCCATGCCAACGAGGCCAGCGGTCGGTCGCGCAGCCAGAAAGATTGGGGGGACAGCAGAGACTTCTGGGTTTGTTTATGGCGCGATATGAATGACACGTGACTGGGAGACACACCAGACAAGGGTAGAAGGAGGAGAAGGAGCAACAGCAGCAGGAAGAGCCACAGCAGACGCTGGTAAAAATTATGAAATTTAGCGCAAGCCACAGAGCTGGCTGGCTGGCTGGCTGGCTGGCTGGCTGGCAGGGAAAAAAATACATTCAGCACAGACACAGATACCTTACACACCCATACACACAGTGACACATCCAGCTATATGACAGCTTTACCATATCGCACCTGCTGCACACACTCTCCAATGCAAGGACCATCGGAGAATGGGTGTGAAGCACGGAGCCTCGACTCGACTCGACTCGACTGACGGCCAATGCGCTTAGCACTTTCATTTCGTTTGCTGCAAATTGCTTAACCACAATCCATATGTATGCAGAATGGTGTCTCACACACACACACACCTCTGGAAATGATGGCATTAGCAACGTGAGCTTTACCGGGTTTTTTCCCAATGCCTTCCGCTCCCACTTAGCAAGCAACACGGCGAGCAACGCAACTGTTGCAAGGTGTCGCCACCAGCTGCTGCTGTGCGGCTCAATCCAACAGCTCCAACGGCTTAACACCTAGCTGTTCCTTTTTGGAATACCCTTGAAAAGGGTATTATAATTTTGCGCAGATACTTCGAAATCACGGAAAGAAAAATCTTCCCGCGAGCTTGGCAAATGCTTTCTCCAGCAATAAAGAATTCCAGGCAAATGTCTAAATCATATAGCTGATCAATCCGCCAGGGTATAATAAGGTTCCACCTTACTTACTGGTTCCCTCTGCCTTTTTTATTAGGTTTTCTTTCGCTATACCAACACGAAGAAGTGTCATATGTAAAGCATAATACAAGCATCACTCATTTGCAGTTGCTGGGCAGGCAGATAGACAGACAGAAACTGACGGAATACTGAACAGTGCTGAATGACAAATAAAAACGTATTTCAATGTAATTAGTCAAAGGTTCGCCATCGTAATACTTTGTAATTCCCCGCAGGCTTCAAAGTTTACGATACACCCCAATTTCACTCCCAATTTCCATATCCATTCTCTGGGTATATTTTGATTTATTCACAATCCTATTTATTTTCCCATCAGCACCGTTTTCCTGACTGACTCTATTTTCCCCATTTGAATCGGCGCATGATGTAATTTATTTCCGTTTTTTCTTTGACTGAGTGAAGGAGAGTTGTGTGTGTGTTTGTGTGTGACAGGATTTCTCTCTTAAATAGGTAACGATTTCTTAGGCAATCCCTGTTGTAAGCTCTTATGCTCTTGTGTTTGAGTGTGTGTTTGTGTTTGTGTAGGGGCGTCCTTAATACGCATTAATGTAGGTGTATATAGGCTGATTATGCCTCTGTGTATGCATTCGCATCAAATCTTTTGTGCTGAAAATTCGCAAATGGAAATGTAAATTCGCCAAAGAACAGCTTAAAGCTCAAGAAAGGAAGGAAATTAAATGGATTTTTCTCTTATTTTATCACTCTATTTTCTTTATGAACCAACTAAACACAAAACAAATTCCCCGGCAATCAATTATAAAAGTTTCTTCCTCCTTTAGTTTCTTTAAACTTTCCCGTTAGCTGTTTAATGTGGAAGTTGCACCCTCCTTGACAAATCGGTATAATCGCTCTTGATTATTATTTGGCCAGTTGGTCAGTCGATGCCATTAATATTTCCCCTGCCTCCCAGGGTTTGCTGGTGATTATGATTTGTGGTTTCGTGTTGCTTTATGGCCTGCCTGATTGTTGCATCTGAAAGTCCTTATAGTATATCTCGAAAAGTTAATTTCCCAATTTAGAATACAACTCAAGAACACAGCTCCAGCTGTTGGTGTTGACCCGAGGCATGCCTCTCATTTGTGGACTCATTTCGTCATGTGCAACTGCTGAAACATGACAAAGTCACTTAATTATTAGATGTCTGGAGGGTAATTGTAATAAAGTGGAACTGATTATGGTCCCAGAGCGTTTTTCTACTACTCAGAAGGTGACTAACGAATGGAAAAACGAATTGAAAACTCCATAATATATGATGTAAGTTGTACAAATATTCGTTCTTCAGTTCAAGCTACCAGATAACTATACAGAAGGCCTACCATTTCCACCATAATTGGGTGGAAATAGGAGCTGTTTCTATCAATAAATAAATTCAGCTATAAATCATGGGCCAAACCCAGTTAGAATATAGTTTAAGAAGCCACTCGAAGCTCCCCCTCTAAGCTACAGGAAGGAACATGTCAGTTGCATCAGACTCTCGCCTCGGCCTTTGGCCAACCACAGGACACGCTACCTCCTCGCACATGAACAGACACTCGCACAGGTGCCCCTCGAGTCAGGTGCGCCACCCATTTCCCACTCCACAGGACAGCAGCAGCAGCAGCAGTAGCAACCACAATGCCATGCCATTCGCACGCAAGCCACTCGCACTTCCTGTTTTTTGTTTCCATGGGCCACAAAGTCAAACGTCGCATATTAAACAACATTTGTCTGTCGCTCTTCGTGCGGATAAAGTGGCAAATGGAAGCAGCCCCCGACTGTGGCTATTCGCCCACATATCCCTATAAATCGTACATATATATTTAGACATCCCAACAGTTTCTCATTTCCCAATATATGTGTATACATCTCTGTATGGAAAAAACTTGGAGATGGCCATAGAGTCCGAAGTGATTCAAGTGTCAATTTGATTAATTGAGCGTGCTGTTGAGGGGCTTCCAACGGATCCATTGTACGCGTATATACCATTGAGGAACAAAGCATTCAGGCTGAAACCTCTTTTAAACCCAAGATGAGGCCTTGGCCAAATGATAATTCAATAAAAATGTTGCATAATGTTGGCCTTGCTTTTTATAGAATTTCATACACCAGCCAGACCCTCAGCCCCTCCTCCTCCGCGTCCACTATTTCAATGGCTAAAACGGAAATGAATTTTTCCGCTTGACCTAAATCCCACACATGCATAAATCTGTTGTTTGTGCTAGGATGCGATATTCTCTTGTATCAATTTAAGCTTTAAGTTTCTACATAATTTGAGGTTGTTTTTTCTCTGTGCCGTGGCTGTGCCTCTCAATTGCCCCTCGAGTCTCGGAATTGACAGGATAATTTATGCTGAAAGTGTTGAACGTGTTGAGTGGGAACGTGAAGACTGAAGGACCCAAAGTACACCAACAAATGGCCCTCGAGGATGGGGTACTAGAGAGTTTAGCTAATTGGGAATATCATTTTAATAGTCGGTGATGCCATGGCATTCGTCCCATTTTTGCCAGACAGACAGCTAGAAAGACAGATAGACAGACAGACAGGCATCCACTTGCAGCTGCAGCCTGTTCGCACAGCTGATATATTGTCATTCATATGTTGTGTCAGCAATTTGTTAGCTTTATGGCTGCTGCCACGCCCCCAGCTGCCACAGCCACAGCCACAGCCACACAGAGCCAGACCTCCACAGAGAGAGCCCCGACAGAGCAAAGAAAGGGTGCAAAAAACATAAAACTTGCATACATAAATTGTATTTATGCACTCCACACTCTGCATTCTGTCATTTCCTGATTTCCATGTGTGGTGTGTGTGATGGCTGTGCCACTACTGATGTTCCTGTCCCTGGAAAAAGGGCGAATTAAGAAGGATAAGCTCCACAATTTCCATCTAATTTGAGATGGCAAGTAAGTATTTTTACAATTCCAATTCCAATTTCCCAATCTCTGGGTTACTTTCCGCATCGATCCCTCACGAATTTTGATTCCTCTTTTGGCTGTCCAACAATTCGAACTCTTTGGAGTTTTATCGTCCCTGTTTTATACTTATACTCGTATGTTCATGTGTCTGTTTGCTACCTTGATTACAGTTCAACTTATTTTCTTTTGGCCCCATGCGTTACGGGGAAAGGGGCGTTTGCGGAGGTTACTAAAAAGTTAGTTTTGTTGGAGTTTTCTCGGTTTCAGTGCAAAATGTTTTTATATGCCAAAGTTTTTTATATTGCAATTTAAGAAAACTATAAATTGCATTTGCTCATAAGTTGCGCCGGACTTGCAACTTCTCTCAGAGCAAATTAGACTGGCAAACAATCAAATATTCGTAAGTCAAGTTGGCTTCGAATTCGAAGCAATAATCATTGTGGAAAATCAAATTAAATTTAAGAATCCTGGACAATATACAAGCTATACAATTCTCAATGCAGGATCCACGCAAAAACGATCTAAAAAAGCTGACCAACGCCATCAGCTTCCTCCAAAAGCGCAAGGAATCTCATGAGCAGCAGCTCCTCTTCGAAGAGAATCAACTGAAGAGGATTCTGGCCGTGCAGGATGCAGCCCACAAGAAAATCGAGCAAATGGCAAAGATGCAGGACTTGCAGTGGCTACTGTCACAGGATCGTCATGAGCTGAACAAACTCATGGAAACTCTAAAGACCTTCCTGGACATGAGCCAGGATATGCAGGATACAGGGTTCTACAAGGCAGCCACCATCTACATCGACGAGCACTGCAATGAGTCGGAACTTAAGGCACCACAGCTACCGCAGTAACTTTCTTATTTCTGATCCCCCGTTGAGCCACACGCAGAAAAAAAACTTGTTAATCTCAGTTCTATGGCCAAAAGTTATGATAATAAAAGAACAACTAAATGGGGTCTTGCTGTCCGCATGGAAACATAAATCCGTGAAGGACAAAACTTCCTGTTGAGATCTTAATTATGCACTTTTTCTGCGGACGGATTACCTTAGAGCATGCACTCTTCGTACTCTTTGGGTACTCCTGGGGACTGCCGCTGCCTCTCTCTACTATCTCGCTTCCCTGTATCTTTTTCTTGCTGGGCAGTTGACCTGAAAAAAAGTATGCAGCCCGAACCGCATGCTGAAGTAATTTCTACTTAGCCACAACTAACTACGACCGGCATGGAAAAGTGTTGGGAAAAACTGAAGAGGAAACTTTGGAACGCCTCAAAAATTAAAATAAAGTGCCAAGAAAGTGAAAAGCGAGTGCCGGTTGCCGGTCTGCCCCATGCTACTTCGTGAAGCTCGTGCCTCGTGCTACGTTGCAGGACGGACCCAGCAGCATCTTGAAGTTGGCCAAAGCCGCGGCCAAAGCTAAAGCCAGGCCAGAGGCAGCAACAGCAGCAGCGGCAGTAGCGGCAACTTCCGTTCCTGGGGCCAGCCCCAACCACTTCTTGTTTCCATTAGTTTCCCCTTTTTCCCTGCGGCCGGTATGGAAAAACTGTTGCCAGTGTGTGTGTGTGTGTGAGTGTGTGTCTGTGTGTGGGCGGTCGTGTCCATGTCCATGCCTCTCTTAATAATTTGTAACTCATTTTGTACTCGGCGCAGCAACAACGGCAAACGCTTCACCTTTTGAGTCCCGCTCTAGTCGTAGCGACAAAGCACAAAGTGAAAAGTGTGGGAAATGGAAAGTTGTGTGCCCAAAAGTCGACGAAATAAATGGGAATTCTTCTGGTTTCTGTGAAAGGACATTGCATTTGGGTTAACAGGCAAATTACGTAATTGAAGTGGTCCAAAAAACAAGTGCAAAAGTGTGTGAGAATGCATGAGAGCCCTTTGACCTTCGTGGGTTTCCTCAAACATCTCAAAATTCAAATACAAATGCAAGCCGTAACGGCTCAGGCTCAGTGGCGCCGCGACGAACCGAACAGCGTGACGTGGATGTTTCCGAAACTACAAGTGCGCTTCTGGCGGCAAAATTTACTTACTCTAGCGCCATTTCTCCACGTAGTTAAATTTTCCGTCTTACAGTTTTAGAGCAACTGAAAAAGTGAACGGATATTGGATTATTGAAGACACGCCACACCTAGCGGCGTACAGCCACCTGTCGTCTTTTCTGTAAGAAATAAATTTTGCGCCCTAAGAAAAATAGCGGCAATAAATAACAACCTATTTAGATTCGTAGATAATTTTTTGGTGTAAATGTAAGGTGCGTGTAGAAATATGGGCGCGAAGTTCAAATGTGCGGGCCACTCTTGTGATAATTTTCGGTGCCCAGCATGGAACCCATCCCGCTATGATAAATATATTTTAAAGTTCACAGATGATGAATAATGGGCTGTAGATGATTTATTATCTAAGGTCGGTGAATTGTTCAAGAGTTCAACGTTAAGGTTAAGGTTTAATGTTAAGCAACAGGTTAATTCAGAAAGCCTTATAGCTATAGAATATCGCGATAATGACAAGAATGCCCTGGGGAATCATCAGCGATGCGGCCGATGATTTCTTTTTCGGATAGTAGACGGTTTTCTTCGAGAGCACAATCACGTGGGGCGTTTGGCCAGGGGCTGGATTGGGCTGTGCCGTCTGCTGGGAGGTCGGTTGGGCAACAACAGGAGCAGGGGCTGCCACATGTGCAGCTCCATTGTGACCAGGCTGTGCTGGAAGCGCAGGAATAACCGATGAAGAATTGGAGGAATTGCTAGCGACCGAAGCCGTGGGTGCAACCCAGCCGGCAGCAGGTGCTGGAGGAGGAGCAGGCGCAGCCGTAGCCGCTGGGACTGGAATAACGGGTGAAGGTTGTGGCATCACCGGAACAAATGCCGCACTGGGCGACATGGCAATGGCAGGAGCCGGCTGATGGGCTTGTGTCAGGGTGGGGCAGATCAGATGCTCCGTTTCCGTGTAGGTTTTCGGGTGGCCTGGATTGGGCTCTCTGATAGTCTGCTTGTAGCAGCCATTGGCATCCGGCTGACCCGTTTCGATTACCGTCAACTTCCTGGGATCGGGTGTGGTCTGCATGACTATTTGGACTGGAGCTGCTGGTGCGCCCGCTGGATAGTAATGGTGGACCTGGGCCACAGGTGCTGGTGCTGGTGCTGAGGCTGCAGCTGGCGATTGGCTTTTGGCAACCGCATGGCCAATCATGCCACCCGCCAGGACGCCACCCAACATGCCCACGCCTGCAGTAAAGGAGAGTTTATTGAGGAGCATCTTTTCACATATTAAGAGGAAATTGCTCACCAAAAGCCCGTTTGCGTCCACGTCCAGGGCGTGCCTGGCTAAAAGGCACCAGCGTCAGTCCGAGGAGGGCTACGAGGAATACAACTTGGACCAAACGACGTCCAGACATGGTGGTCAATGGAAGAATGAGCACGAGTTCTGCGAGGTATATTTGGCTAAATCGGCGTTAAGACCAGAACTGATCGGAATAATGGAACGCTTCTGACTCAGTGCCAACCGAAGGTGTCGAAGAATGTTTTTTCCACAGCGCAAATGTTTGAACAGTTGCTTTTGGAAAGTTCAAGAAATATATTTTTGTGATGCTTTAATTGAATTTTATGCGGCACATGAAACGCTCATTACCACGCCTGTGCTGTGTGAGTAGTATACCAGTTCAAGGTGTACTTGGGGTTCGATTCTCTTATTTTATTTGTCTATGAGAGGTGTGTATAAGAGTATCGCTTATGTCATCTTATAAATATATCTTTAGGCTGTTCGCTCCATAGACAAAGATCAGTTTTATACGCATTCCAAGGGTTATTTGAAGCAAGGAAATGAATCCCGCCTGACTTTCTTCTTCTAAATGAAGCAGAGTACTGTACGGTTATTTCTTTAATGGTTCTCCGGTAACCCTCTCAGAATCCATGCATGACATTCCGATTGCCTCGCCCCATCAGAGACCCGTCAGTCCATGCCTTTGGCTGCCATTGTTCTGCTGTCATAAGTCAATCGTTGCCAGTTTGAAGATACATATATCACAATATGAGCAGAATATGATGCGGCAACAATGAAGTGGCAGCCCCCGTAGTACACATAATGGAGAACGTGTACGTGGCTTAAAGTGGTGTGATTTAAGGCCAAAATTTGCCAAAAAATAATAATGGAGTCTGAAAAAAGACCAAAACTTTAATTGTTTAATGAGACTCGGTCTGTCCGTGTCTCCTGGTAGACGCCCTTTTGGATTTCTTTTCTGCTGTGCCCAACAGGAGTCGTACCAGCTGGCAGACTGGTTGTTAAGTCCGGCATATGGCACGTGAGGCACCAAATACGAGGACTGCTCCGTTTAATTTTCATAATCTTTGGAGCCAAACGCAGGAAGGACACGCAATATGGTTTTGGTTAAGGAACACAAGGAAATGAAAGGCAACGAATGGAGCGATGGTCTCCTTTCCTTGGCACTTGGGCAACGGTATTGATTAAATCGGCTTAAAGCTTTGACTAATGATGACAGAAGAGATCTCTGGCTCTAGCTCGACTCTGGCTGGAGGAGAACATGAGGCGTTAGAGCGCATAATTCGCTGGTGGAAAGCGCCAACTCATTGAGCGGAGGCTGGGGCAGCGGCAATCGCTTTGGTGTCGAAATGACCTGCATCAAATGTTCAGGGCAGAGCCATGAGAAATCTCCAGTCATTTGTATTCGGGGGATTTGCCGGCAATTTGTGAGACGCGACTTTAATTCGCTTAATAAATATTTGTTTAGTTTCTCGACTACTCTCGCCCAGGTTGCGGTCATGGGGGAAAGGATCTGCTCTCCGGCACATGCACACAAACACACACACACAAAGGACAATTGTCAATTGCAGGACATTCTTTGCCTTGGGGGTGCGGGTGCGACACTTGAGTTCCACTTCCTTGCCGGCCATAAATCACTCGCTGAACGCTGAACCGAGATGACGACGAAAATGTCAGATACAGGATGCGCAAGGATAGCGTAGCGAAGGAGGACCGACGACGGTAAGGAGGCAGTGCAGCACAGTTGATGGACATGGACATGAGCGAACGTCTTGGGGCCATAGACCTTCCACTCCTGGAAGGATAATGATGCGCAAATCGCTGGCAGTCATCGCTGTCCATCAGCCAGCCCTCGGCTCTGCTTTGTTTCATGTTTTCGGCTGTTCGGCTGTGGCTGTAGCTGTGGCATTGGCACTGGCACTGGCTCTTAGCCGCCTCTATTATCCTTAATGCGAGTCACTTTGTTAGAAACGTCAGTCGGCCTGCAAGCGCCATTATCATCATCGTGTTGCCGGACGGCCATCCCGGCTGGAGGAAAAAAATATGATTCGGAAAATGTGCAGACACACTGGCCCCGCCTTGTCTTTTCCTTTTCCTTTGCCTTTTCCTTTACCCCCCATTCTTGCTTTATGCTTTTCCCCAACCGAAAATGCACGAAAATAAAGATAAAACATGACAGGCGGGTTCACATTCAGTCATTTATAATAAGCCCAATATGACCATGTGGATCCCGCTCCTGCTACTCGCTCAGGCCCTCCCACCCCTCCATAGTTTACATCTGCTTAGCCTCCAGTTACAGTCCGACTTGGCACATAATGCACTGCAGATTGCAGACGGTTAAGCCTGATGCTGGAAAACCTAATGAAATAATTGATGTGAGCTATTTACAAGCATCTAATTCCGATTCGATGGCCAGTCAATAAAAATATGCCATAATTATATAGAACTGTTGCTGCCTCTCGTCTCTCGTCTGACGTCTCCCCTTCGGGCCTGGGCTTAGGTTAACCAGACCAAAACCAGTCCACAGCACTGGCTGCAATGTTAATGACATAATTTAAAAAGCATTTCATTAATAGCTGATGTCAGAGGCCCAGGAAGAGTCTGCACTCTGGGGCAATTAAAATGCGGACAAAGAAAGCCAGAGGACAACGTTGTGATTGGAAATTCAAAATGCTGGCTGGGCCAGAATGTTA